CGCTCCTGCAGCAGGCCCAAAGTGCTGTGGGTGGCAAGGGGCGCTTGATGGACTCCAGCGGTGCTGCACTTGATCCGAGCAGCACCGTCAAGCGCACTCGCTTGCAGCCGGGCGATTCTGTGACTCTTCAGATCCGCCCTCCGCGAGCGCATGGCTACCACAGCACGGTCATCATCGAAGGAGACGGGACGGTGATGAGGGAGTCTTCCCCGCTCCGGCGCGTTAGCGTCGTCCAGGCCACCTCACAGGCTTGGGCTGCGATCTTGGACGATGGCTCGGTCGTGACCTGGGGCAATCCCTCGTACGGCGGCGACAGCGGCTGGGCTGAACCGGAGTTGCGCGACGTTCGCTGCTCTTATGCGGGATGGCCGCATATCTGCCTGGGGCGATGCCGATTATGGGGGTGGCGCCCCGCTCATGTTTGCCGTGGACCCGGCAGAGCCAGAGCAGTTTTTGGACGCTGTGACGTGCATCCAGGCGACTCGCGGCGCGTTTGCTGCCATTCGAAGGGATGGTTCAGTGATCGCCTGGGGAGATGACGACGTTGGCGGCCTCATCCTCGATGAGGACCTGCGCAACGTGGTGAAGATTCAGTCCAACCCTTGGGCGTTTGCTGCGATCCTGCATGATGGCTCCGTCGTGGCCTGGGGTGACCTGGATAAGGGCGGCTCGATTGGACAGCGGCTCACGGGCGTGAGGGACATACAGGCCAGTGCTCGGGCTTTTGCAGCCATCCTCAACGACGGATCCGTCGAAGCTTGGGGCGACGAGGACGGTGGCGGCTTCCTCTCCGAGGACATCGTCGACTGCAAGGAGATCGCGGCCACCCAGTATGCATTCGCCGCCATCCTCCACAGTGGCTCCGTCGTGACTTGGGGAGACCCTGGGGCTGGGGGGAACGGCGCATGATCGAAGGCCACTTAGTCAGGGGGATTCAGTGGAACTGTCGGGCCTTCGCAGCCATCTTGGACAGTGGCTCCGTGGTCACCTGGGGCGATGCCGCCTACGGCGGGGAGTGCAACACTGGTCACCTGCGGGGCGTGGTTGCCATAGAGGCGACGATCAGCGCTTTCGCTACGGAAGGCGGCGACAGCAGCAGGGTGCAGGCGCAGCTGCGCAACGTGGTGTCAATAGCTGCTGACACTCGCAGCTTCACCGCGATCCTCAGCAACGGCTCGCTCGTGGCCTGGGGAGCCGTTTGACGCCTTCGACCTTCCTTGTAAAATGTGTGCCGCGTGGTTCCCACCTTGCCCCGGTTTCCCTTCCCTTAAGTTTCAGGGCACCCGAACCCTTTCAGCCCCACTGTAGGTTTTGCACCCCATCTGCCCTGCAAGTGAATGCGCCCCTTCGGCCTTGCACTTACTTTTTGTTTGCCGCGCTCGCTGTTCAAGGGTAGGCTGGGGGGTTTGCCGGGCCGGGTGGGCTGGGCGGGGCGGTTGTCGCGGGAGCCTCACAGTGCAGCCGTAGGTGGTTCGAGGGTAGGAGTGTTTTGTTCTGGGTTTCCTCCTGTCCCTAACCTCTTGATTTACCCTAGGCTGCCTCTCACTGCCCTGCCTTTGCTGTGCGCGTGTTTTCCCCTTCCCCGTACCCCTCCTCCCGCTCCGCCCAGGTCCGACCTCCTTCAGGCTGGGTCCGCGGTGTTGCAGTTCGGTTTTTTTGTTCCGGGTTTTCCCTGTCCCTAACCCCTTGGGTTACCCTAGGCTGCCTCTCGCTGCCCTGCCTTTGCTGCGCGTTCCCCTTCCCCGTAGGTCGCCCCCTCTCGTTTCGCCCAGGTCCGACCTCGCCCCTTCAAGCTGTTGGAGTGGGCCGCTGCCTTAAAGTGCTGTGTGGGTTTTTGAGTGTCCGTGTCTTGCGCTGTAGCTGCTATTGCATTCCCGAACCTCGTTCCCGGGAACCCCGGGCCCCCCACTGTCGCTTGCAGGCTCTCTTCGCGTCGGGCGGCCTCCTCTTCTGTTGTCTGGGGTATGGGCCGCTTTGCATCTGTGGCGCTGTTGAAGTAGGCCGTTGAGTTTGAGCAACGCCGTGGCCTGCAGCACATTTTGTGTTCTGGAAGCCGGGGTGCTCTGGTGTCGCTATCCCCCTCCCTTACCTGAACTCCTAGGTAGATATCAGTAGTAGCAGGAGTCGTCGTCGTCGTCGTAGTAGTAGTAGTAGTTGTTGTTGTTGTTGCCGGGGGTCACTCTGCCATGGACCACTACGTGGAACGTGGCGAGATCACCCACGCCATCGCTCCTCGGCCAATGCTGCATGTGTGCAACAATACGCGCACAAGTCGCCGTCTGCTTATCCGAGGACGAGCGGGGCGTCCTTCACCGACTGCCCATCTCGGTGCCTCGGCAAAGAAAATGCACAACAACTGAACAAATCCAGCCATCACAACAAAGCCCCAAACTCATCCAAGAACGCGCCCCGCCTCTACCACCCGATCGACTGGCAACCATGGCTGGAGTGGCTGCGGTGGCA